TGCATCGTCGATCGGAATAATGGATCCGGAGCAGACGTTTATTAGGGTTCAGGAGAGGTTTTCGCAGATCTTAACGCCTAGGATTAGAGGTTTCTTAGAGTATACATACCTCTTCGTTGCCATCACTTTGTTCTCTATCCTCGTTGTTATGCACGCCAATTATGTTCAGCAGGTAATTTGTTGAATTCCCTTTTTGTTTTCAGGTCTCCGATCATCTTCGTTTCAAGTTTACTGGATAGGATTTGGGTCTTTTAGGATTAGCCGATTATGTACAACATTAAGGAGGTTTGGGTCCTTTATACTCTAGATTGCCTTGATAAGGATGATGTAGCAGTTTTTATCTGTTTTTCTGGGTGTTTGTAACTTTATAGCTTAATCAGACTTCATTGTATTTATGCTAATATGAAATTTGTGGAGGTGAAGCTATTTGGATACAAGGGGTTGGTTGGTATCTACTGCTTGTACCTTCTGTAGAATTGCAGTGGTTTATAATTACCATAGAATCTGCAGGAAGACAAGACGCTTTCTGATTTTCTTTATGTGTTTTCGTTCAGGTCAAATGGTAGTTTTTAACTCGCACACTTCATATTGTAGGTGTAGTGTACTCTCCAATAGGGAATAGTTCCCATGCAAATGCATTTGAATGCTTCCAAATCGTCTTAAACGTAGGAAATATAATATCCAGGAAGATTTTTTTTAGTTGGCATAGTTGTCTTCGACTTCAAGAGTTTCGTGTAGCTTGCATGCTTCCCTGAGATATTTCATGCTTATGTCTCCTAAGCTTCTCTTATCTGACCTTTATTGTTCCTCTCTAACTAACTATTTTAATTTTTTTCTTTTTCTTGCAAAGCCTGGTTGTTCGAGTGAGCTGACTGGAGTTGAGCTAGCTGAAGCAGAGCTTTTACAGATCAAGGTATATAGCTGTTATCCCTCTGATACTAGCTTACATAATTAGCGAAAAAATTATATATTTTCCTGGCCAATGAGCTGGTTCCTCCCTACTCGTACTTTGAAAGTCTCTTTCTGTTAATCTGCTAGCTATAGATAAAATTTGTATTCATCCTTAGTTCTCTACAACATATATGGCACCAACTTACTTCTGTGGTATAGATAACAAGCGCAGGGTTGTGGTCACGTAACGATGAAAGTACTGCTGCAGATGTTCCTCAAGTTGAAGCTGCAACTGACAACTCAGAAGTCTCAAAAACTGATCAAGGTGATTGTTTATCTTCGGAAGTAGTCTGTGGTTGAATTGGTTTGGATAGACTGCCTGTAGGAGTTTGCATGGACTGATGCTGCATTTTTTTGCAATCATGCAGAAAGCTCTACCAGTGAAGAGAACCCTGATGATATATTTGTTAAAACTGATAAGGAAGAGCCCCGCAGTAGTTTCTCAGTGTCTGCAAAAGAGACTGTCAGAGCAGCTATTCTTCGCATTCTCAAAAAGTGTTACAGGCGCATATCATTCGTTGTACAGTATACAGCACGGTTCCTCAGAGGTGTTAGAAAAATCTGGGTGAGTTGTTTCTTAAATGACTTAAAAAGTATTTTAGAAACTATTTGCTCTCACCTCTTTGTTTTATTTCCTTTTGTTTCTCAAATTTTGACTGAGATACTGCTTATCTCCTCTGTGAAGTTTCTGTTAGATGTTTGGTATATACTTATAAAGCATGTTACTTAACTGGTGTTTGTTTGATCCGAAATATATGTTACTGAAAAATTTTAAGTGGCATGTGGCTCAATTGACTGGATGTGAAGATTTTCAGTAGTTTCTCCCTTTATTTTGTGAGGAAAATGGACTTAGGTCTAGCTACAAATTTAGCCCTTTAAACATCTGTTTCTTGGTGCCACAGTACTTAGGTCATCTAATTTTTTTATTGCCAGAAAAATGGACTTAGGTCCTCTACAAATTTGTATTCTGACGAAAAAAATTATTTGCTCTTCAAAATTTAAATGCAGAACATCATCGGCATACCATTGAATCTTGATGTACCCAAATTGTTGCATTGGCTGTATGTGGACAAGATCAACTACTATGCAGGTAAAAGCCACCTCAGTATATGGGTTTTGTTCTTCATTTAAACGAACGTATCAGACAATGATAACTGGTTGCACGAATGTAAAATTGAATCTGAAACATACATTTCCTTGTGAAAAGCAGTTCTTGTTTTGTGATATGCAGCTACCAAATAAATTTTCGGTTTATGGACCTCTTCTTGTTAGTTCTTCGATTTTTCATTTATGTGGTTTAATTATTAGAATAGTAAGATTACGCAGGTTTGGCCTTTCGCTCTGCTGTAGGTGGGGAGATGTCTGCGTGAACTTTGTTTGACATTAATTTGTTTATTGATTTTTTTCTTCTTTCAGTGCAATGGCTTGAGAGAAGAACTCAAGAGTTTGAGCCAACATATCTATATACCATGGAGAAGGTAAACATTGTTATCTGTTAAGAATTTAAAGCTGAATAGTGAAAGATATTTGAGCATGTTCTCTACCCAGGAATACTCTATTTTATTAAGAAAGATGTGAAAATGAGGAATTTTTCAATTGGATTTCTGGTTCGTTCTTAGAATTGCTACCCTCCATATAGGGTTACTTTTTGCTGCCTGATGAAGCAAAGTCACGGCATAACATTCGCACTGCAAATGTCAGCATATCGGCACGACATCCCTGCTTTGGCAATAGGTGATATTCATGTTACTGGCCCTCACTTTGGAAACAATTAATTTAATTGGAAAGGCTGCATCCTGATGTAAGCTTCTTAACATTGAATTACTTTTGCAGGTGGCAGCAACTTCTTATAAACAGAGTCGTAGGATATGATACTATCTTAATGAATAGTTTACAGAACTCTGCTGGTCAAGGTAGGTTTTAGCTGTTTGCCTGGTTGATAATGCCCATTCAAGTTTCACTATTTGTGTGTCTCTTCATTTCGAAATTAAACATAGTGAAGTTATATATCTGCATCCTTCAATGCCTGTGATTCGTCGACTATGTGTTTGTCCTTGCTTTTGTATCTTGTGTGCAATCTGTTACCATCTGGAAGGTTAGGTTACTGCTAAACGGAGGTTGTCTATTTTATTGTTACTTTAAATTAAGTTATCCTCTGGGAAGGCTGTTAGGAGAATAGTCTGCAGGAATCAATTTGTTCTATGCATGATGTAGATAACCAATGTCGTCGTTGGTAGCTATTACGTGATTTCTCCATTTGTCTTTGTTGGCTGCTCATGCTCCTTTGTTTCTATCTATATGCTATTGTGAAAGCTGCAGTTGGCACTCCATATGACTGCCTACTTCATTCATTACAGGTTATCTATACAACCACCAGACAAGAGAGTCTTACAATCTTAGTTACTCGCAAGAACTTACTGAAGGTTCTGCGCAGTTTGGAGGTTCGTCATGTTCTGTCTCGTGAACAGCATATGTTGAAATTTTTCCCTCGCGACTCGCAACTTTATTTTGTATGAGCATTATATTGGATTCACCAAGCCTGCTTTATTAGCTCTTACAAGTTTCTCTGTAGTTCAGTAGAAGCATTTGGTTTGAATTATCGAGTAATATTATTATTCCGGGTGTATGCAGATTACTTGGTGACAAAATGTGGTGTGCTTATGATGTCGCTTTTTGTATTTTTCACAACTACAATGTCTGTGTCATTTACATTGCGAGAGACACYAACTCGCATGTTGAAGTTCACAGGTTTGTCTTTCTTCTATTTCAGTAACTGCTGGTTTCCCATCTCTTCTTCTCAACAATCGTTTTTGTTTCGATATCACTTTGTTGCAGTGCAGCTTCAACACCATGCTCAGCATCGGCTACCAACGTTTCAGTTGATCTTTGTGCACGTGATCGAATCACTTGTCTTTGTACCGGTACGCATACACATTTTTGGTTTGTCCTGATATTTGCTGAATTCAAGGGAGTACACGTGTAAAATTTTAGAGGATTCTCCTGACTGGCATAATATAACCATTTGCAGATTATGATTGGGATTCTGTTCTTCCTGTTTGAGTTTTACGACGACCAGCTACTGGCTTTCATGGTTCTAGTTCTTGTCTGGCTATGCGAATTATTCACCCTGATAAGGTTTTTGGTCTTCCCTTTTGCCTCAGTCACCTGTATATGCACTATCGAGCCCTCTTGCTTGTGATAATCTCACTACCAATTAAGAGCTTGTTCCTTAGCTGAATATTAACAAAGTGCTATCTTCTAAACATTGCAGTGTCAGGACACCAATATCGATGAAGTTCTTCCCGCGTTTCTTCTTATTGTACTTCTTGGTGTTCCACATTTATTTTTTCTCATACGCATATGGTAAGAACTGAGGTTTACCTTATTATATTTGGTTCATTAACTACTTAAATTTCAGATGCATTCACTTACTGCGTAATTCTCAACAGGCTTTTCTTATCTCGCTCTCATGACCACGGCTGCATTCATGCAACACTTGATTCTATACTTCTGGAACCGTTTTGAGGTAAGATTTTGATTCCAGCAACTCAGAAGATTGGCCAAGACCGATAATAAGGCTTAAGCTGAAAACTTAAAATCCGTAGGTACCAGCTCTTCAAAGATTCCTTCAAAGCCGACAGTCGCACCTTCAGCAACACCCAGACTTCCACATCACTTCCTCAACAATCCTAGCATCAACTCTTCACATCACAAGGCTGAACAGAACAACAAGAAACCGATCTCCATCTGGTCCAAACAACACAAACCCAAACCAAAACACGGAAACAAGATCTCCAGCAGCAACAGCAGATGGAGGAACCGAGAATCCAATGCAACATCAAGGACAAGAAGGGAACGCAGCAAACACCATTCCTGCAGAGCCTAACCCGCAAGCAGGCGCGATGAGCTCGTTCAGCTCCATGCTACTATGGATTTTAGGCGGGGCTTCCTCAGAAGGACTTAACTCGTTTCTATCGATGTTTAGAGATGTGAGAGATGAAGATGAAGCTCAAGTGTTTGCAGATGCTTCCCCTCAAAATCCTCATCATGCTCCTCTTTTAGTTGACTAAAGTTGTTTACTGTATATTGTATTTCTTCTTGGCCTGTGTTTTCATTGTTCCTTGTTTGCTTGTATAGTCACTGGCCAGAGAAACAAGCTTTTGGGATATTAACAAGGTAAACAAAAATTGGTAAAAAAGGGGGAAAAGGTTTGGTAAAGCAATGTAAATGACAGTAATTCTTCACTACATTTCTGAAAAGTATACTTCGCTTGTGAGGCCACCAAGATGTTTTGCAACGCCTTTGTGAGAAGGGGTTCACGGTCAATGAGAGAGATGACGTCAGAATCAACCTGGAAATAAGTGACTGATCTGGCTGGGAACTGCTCGGAGATGAGAAGCTTAGCGCCACGAAACTCGAACAAGAAGAGCATTAATGTATACTATATGATGCTCTGAATCACCACGATCTGCACCACTAGGTTACCGGAAAAGTCACCGTACATAGCCCATCACCAATGTGTTGGGTAGTGTTGATAGTGAGAAGAGTGCTATCATCCATCCTTGGCGACCGCGTTTTTTAACATGGAGAAAAACTAAAAAGCTTAAGAGAGAAA